GCAAGTTGTCTCTACATAGAACCATTTATGCGATACCTTTGACGCCAATCGATAGCTCTCGAGGTAGATATCGATAGATAGTGTGCGATCGTCAAAGTGTCACACTGGATGGCCGAGATCCGGCCCCTTGAGTTTAGCCCATTTCTTAGATCTTTTCCCGATTTCCCACATACATTTTTGTCAAAATCGCGCCACTAGGTCCAAAATAAAGCGGTGGATTTTCGGCTCCTGTCCGTCAAATGTTTTGAAATGTATAGGAAATCGAGTGAAAAATTCTGTGATGGAGCCAAATTTCAAGAGCGGCATTCTCGGCCATCCAGTCGTCACAACGATGATCTCAACATCGGTCGATATCTACTCCTCAAGAAATATCGATTGGCGTTAATGTTATTGCATGCAAATGGCGCTATGCTGAGATACCTTGCAAAACACTTTCTGCCTAATTTTTGTAAAATCTTCTTGGGCCCTGTGTCCGGCCGGTCTAGATTTTGAGGGCCCAGGACCCTCTTCCCGGAACCATTCAGACCGAGAGCTACAAAATGACATATCGCATGTGCAGAATAGAGCTATCTACGAATTTAGCCAGCCCTCCAAAATCTCGGCGACAGAACTTTCGTTCCAACCTGATAGAAAATGCGAAAAGCAACGCTATGTCACGACTAGGTATCGACAACTACGATCGGCACCAAAATACGAAAAATAAAAAGGTTTATGCATAACTTCCAGTGGACCTTTGCGTATTTTACAGAATTTGCTAGTTGTCGAGACCTAGTCGATAGAAAGGGTCGCTTCTATACGTTTCTTGTCCCTTTAATGGCCTCAAATCTCTACCTACCTTCCTCCGAAACGTCTTCACCGGAACCTTAGTAGTGGGCGTGGTTGGAACCTCCGTAGTACCAGGCAGCTTTTCCTTCTTAGCGCTCTTTGTCGAGCTCTCCACCTCCACCGTACTTCTCGTCTTCACCTCCGTACTTTCATCCTCTTGTAGGTCGGCTTGATGGGAGGCTTTTCGCTCCTTTTTTGTATGTTTCCAAGTCTTGGTCTTATGCGAATCCTTTGTCAGTTTAGAAAAGCTTTGCGTAGTCGTCGGTTTCACTGTAGTTTTCTGGCTGGTAGTGGTGGATGCGGTGGATGAAATTTCGGCTTGTGAGTTGGAATCCAAGACAGCGGCTAACTCCGAGTTGGAGAAGATTTCAGCACAGTCATCGGTCAGGTACTTCTTCTTTAGTTTTTCTAAATAATTGGTCTAAGAGCCAAGACAAAAATCCATACCTTTAGCAGCACATTTATACTCTAGGTAACTCTGAAGTTGACCACCGCTCGAGATGGTGTTGAAATTTTCGGGGTTGGAGAACCTGAAAAGCGACGCATTATAGCGAGGGAGAGAGCGAGAGACGGAGATAGAGACAGAGACAGAGAGAGAGAGAGAGAGAGAGAGCAAGCGAAAGCTGAAAAACTCACCGGTTCTGCTTATTAATCAAACACGTCTTGCTCTCGAAGTAGTACTGCGCGCTCTGACAGCTCTCACCGTATCTAAATCCGGGTATAAAAAGTTTGTTAGAATAAGGCACCTCTTTTCAGCATTTGCGCAGAAGCACTTGCATTGCAATGGGGAAACGGAAGCTTCTACGGCTAGGGAGATGCCCTCCAAAACGTGAGATGGGAGCTCCTCGAAGCAGTCATCGGATTGGCCTGAAATTTTTTGAAGCTATCATTTTGAAAGGGACGTGGCTGGATACAAGATCCGTTTAGATGGATGCTTACTCGGATAGGTCTCCTTGGTGGTTGTCGTAGCGAGCGTGGTCGTGGTAACCTTGGCCAAGCAGCCGTACTGTTTCTCCGGGTTGACCAGCTGTGCGAGGGCTTCGCCTAGAAAAGATATTACGTCATCTCTCTCTCTCTCTCTCTCTCTCTCTCTCTCTCTCTCTTCGGATCATTACCTCGACTACAGGTCAGCCCGATATACGTCACATTCTCATCACTTCGGAACGCCTCTGGTCTCGTCTCTCTGTTCTCCAGGTTCAAGACACAGTCGCGCTCGTTATGATAGTAGGTGGCAGATAGGCACTCGAAGGCGAAGCGTCCTGATGCCCTGAAAGGCAGGCTTACGATAGAGTCCTGGTTTCGGAAAATGGAAGAATTTAGAACCTACTTGCTATTGGCGCACAGACATTGGCATTCTTCGAGCGATATTCCTTGCTCGAGCCCTCCAGCTGATGAACTCAACAGCTTCCCGTCGATCACCTCGAAGCAGTTGGGGGGTTGTGGAGGTTTTGGAGTTCTGAAAATGAGATGTTCAAGAGAAGATCATCTACTTTTCCGTTTTTCGCTACGAAACCCTGATTCCAAAGACATTGCTTGAACATGTCTAACATATACATGGGTCGACGCTTGCATGCGCCGCATAAGCGTGGCTGGCCGCGCTCTTCCGGAGCGTGGAGGAACACGCTTATGCGGCGCGCGCGCTTTTCACGCGCGCAATTTAACTCGAGATGCAAATCAAAAATTTAAAGGACATATATTTATGATTTCGATTTGCAAAAATGAATTACCGATACATAACTATCAGGGTCATCTTTAAATTTTGATAAATAAGCAAGATAGATCGTCATTCAACTTCTTGTTAATTAAATTCTCGAAAACGGATCGCTTTTTGCTTTCATGTCCCTTGGAAAACTTTGATTTTGCATTTTCAGAAGCTTTGCATAAGCATTTCCGGAGCGTGGTGGGCCACGCCCATTTCGGCGTGGTTTATTAAGAGGCACGCGCGCCAGCGTGGCTCTCCACGCTCCGGAAGAGCGTGGCCGGCCACGCTTATGCGGCGCATGCAAGCGTCGACCCATGTATAGTCTACCATGTTGATGGCTTCCATATCATCTGCAAGCTCTACTTACCAATCCCTCCAGCAAGTCCTTATCTCCATCAGGTTTTGGCGAAGTCGACGGGTTTGTGACAGCTTCAGAAACAACGGTCACTTTCGTCACTTCCGCTTCAGAGGTTGCAGTAGCTGTAGTAGCCGCACTCGCTGTTGTCGTAAAAGCTGACGTCGAACTGCTAGCCATCGTCTTTTCTTCAGTAGTTGTGGTCGGAGCTGCAGAAGTCGTAGCGGTAGTCGTCGAAGTCTTCGTAATTACTTCTTCTCGTCTGGCGGCAGCAATTTTCTAGAAAACCATTAAATTAAAGATGATTTTTACAAAATGGGGTTATTAATGAAAACATGTGTTCAAAGTAAAATTTCTAGTTTCGTCATTAGCTTATAAAATATCCGATAAAATAATAATTGTGTTAAATATGTATATGAAATTATTCCTCCTCACCACAGCAACCCTAAATCATATATGTTATTATTGTTGTAACTTGGCATTAAATGGTTATTTCTGATAACCTTTCACACCCAGTGTATATCAGTGTTGTTTAGTACACACTGCTACCTTCTGAATTTTCCTATTCTTTCGCTGGTTCTTTTGCCTATTCAGCTTTCTTTGAGCTTTCTGCCGATTCTGTCTTCTTCTGGCTTCTTGTCTCCTTCTTCTAGCCCTTTCGGCCTTTTTTCGTTGTATATTCCGATTCCGTATTTTCCGCTTTTCCGCGGGGGTGTACCGAGGAGCGGCGTGGACTCGGTGATGAGGTCGGTCGTTCAGTTCTTCACTTTCAACCCAGTTTTCGGGTTCTTCAGTTACAGTATTTTCCTCAGCAGTTGATTCCGGGGTAGTTTCTTGTATACTAATTGTCGAAGTGGCTACCGTGGTCGTGGCAGCATCCGGGAGTACGGTAGTTGAGGTGGAAGGGCCGAAGAGGGCGAGGATGTTTTGAGGCGTGGCTTCCTTGCACACTTTTGAGGCGACGGAGAGGAGGACTAAATTAATTATAGTTTTATCTAAGTTATATTGAAATTCGATACCTTTCGGGTCGCAAGTAATATGCTGATACGTCATCTTCTTATCGCCAATCAGGTCGTATTTGCCGAAATGGGTGCCTGAAACGATAAAGCGTAGTAGCATAACTTAGGCTTAGCTTCGGTTTGGCTTAGGCTCCAGCAGGCTTAGCTTTGGCTCAGCTTAGGTTTAGCTTAGGAACTAGCTTAGGCTTAGCTTCGGCTTGGCAATATCGATATAAAAACCAGGAATTCCGATATACCCTTGTTTAACCAGCAAGTCTTTGTCGAAGCGAAGTACTGCAGCGATAAACAGCGATGCAGAGCCGTATCATTTTTCCAGGTGGCCGCGCAAAGGCATCTAAATTTCCACAGTTCTTTTCATTTTAGAACCGTAACAAACTGTGAAGCCGCAAGAATGCCACTTACCGACACTCATTAATCGAGGCTGGAGAGATCTTCTGGAAATCCGCGTCCAGCAAATAGCTTTCCGGGCTTGTTGTGAAGCACACTCTGCCTTTTGCTAAAAATAAGGTATATTATCGGGCTTCCAGCGGGGGGGAGCCGCTTCGCGACTCTCCCCCGCTGGACCCCGTCTAGGCCCTTTAAGATCGAGCACCCTTCCACAGACAGTTATCTGAGAAGAAAACCCATCTCCCATGCAAAGCTCTTTGTATTGGCATGCGGCGCAAGATTGAACTGTTAATTCTCGTTACATTAGGCCTGCGGCGCATGTTTGATCGGCTGAGTCGCTACCTCATCCTGCGGCCGCAAGCTTGAGGGATTAGCCTCCTACGGCCTGGCGACAGCTCTAGGCGGCTGGCTTCGTTCTGAACGCCTGCGGCGTTAGCCGGAGCGGCTGGCTTCGTTCCGGTAGCCTGCGCGCTAAGCGTTGACGGCTGGCTTCGTTCCGAGCCTGCGGCGCTATTTCGAGCGGCTGGCTTCGTTCAAAGCCTGCGGCGCTAGCTCCAGCGGCTGGCTTCGTTATAAAGCCTGCGGCGCTAAGCTCGAGCAGTTAGCTTGATTCCTTGGCCTGCAGCGCATGCTTGAGCAGGTGGCTTCATTCTATAGGCTGCGGCTTGAGTGGACTAACTTCATAATAACGTCCCTACACGGAAATCCTCCGAAACGCGCTTTCGAGGAAAAATAAGCAACTAAAATGTCCGAGGATCCAGACCTCCGATCTTTAGATTAGCGCGGCGAAACAGCTAACCACTACACCATGCAATGCTTGGTAGCACGCGCCAAACACCCGTTTTATGCCTCAATGCTTCCCTGCCCGGGGCAGGGAAGGAAGGGCATCGAGAGGCAGATCCAAAGGGACGACCAAACTCTTGAGTGCAACTGGCAAGAATAGGAAATTTGTATTTTTCACATTATACCATTGGCCCTCCCGGACCCCAAAAATCAATAAAACCGGCTTTAACTTTGTTAACTTGTATTTAATCGGGATTCTGAAAGCGCCATCGGAAAGAGGAGGGTCGATTCCCCCGGGTGACGGAGAATTAAGGCATTTATGCACGGGAAGGCCTTAAATCGGGCCCCCTCGAAAGTGACGGCTGACCGGACACACACACAGACAAAGATACGCGACCAAATTATATAAGGTAGGATGTTTATTTAATCAATATTTAGGTTTACCAGAACCATAAGCTATTTCGAAACGCGCATGTGAGTCTTGAAAAGCAGCAATTTTGTACTCACCTGGATGTTGAGGAGGAGCATCATTTTGTAGATTGGCGGTTTGAGAGTCGACCGGGCTGTGTGATACCTTAAAATACATTTTGTGGGGTCTGAAGCTGCTTTACTTACCGGCTTCCCGTCATTCGGCTCTCCGGTGATGATCTTGATTTGCATCTTTGGAGCATCGTAGGTTCCTCCAACCGTTACAAGCTTTGGGTGACGCGCAAGATCTGTACAATCAAAAATGTGCCTCATTTCTGACATTAAAATGAGGTGTCTGGGGCTTAAAGTGGCTTTAAAGTGACTGGGAAGCCCCAGAATCGATCCGATGCGTTAATTTGTTCTTGGCAGCAACATAAAATTGCGTCACAGTACCAACTCCACTACGACACGGATCGACGCAAGGCTCCAAATGCGTTTGCAAGCGTATATGGGTATATGGTGTCTGATACGTAGCTGTTTTACCCAGGTCGATCGTCTTGCTTCTCAGTCCCTGTAAAATCGATCAAACACCCACATCTATACTCGTGACAATCCTTGAAGCAAGCCATCTGCACCAAATGGCCCTGTGGCTTGAAATCGTCGAGGTATCGCTGCGTACTCACTCTGAAATTTGGATTCTTCTGGCTTTCCAGTTAGCACCTACCGACAATCCACCTGTTGAGCATAGGAAATAGCACAACTCCTTGCAAAAGAGTTGTACACGGCTGTTCGACAGAACTTCCGATTGGCGCAAAACTGGGCGCAATCAAATGGGGAGCGGATTTCGAGTCTAAAACTAGAGAATATGATCGCATTTGTCTTGGAGAATCAGGAATATGTTTAATCGCTTACGCGGTGAAATAAAATGAGACATCAGCCGCCCGTTCGACCGAAATATCTTCTGCATAGTAGTCGGAGACGCATTCCGCTGAAAATAACCTCGTGAAATGCTATCCAAAACCAAGGTATTAACGTTTTCAATTATTTTTGCGCATTTTCAGACTTATCGGTCCCTTTAAAACGCAAAACCCACCTGAAACCGTTGTTCTCAATAGCAAAAATATAAATGTGGCCCCGTAGGCGGCCCACCAAGGGGATGGCGGGTCCCGCATGGACACGGGTAATGGTCGTTCGACGATGGGGAGAGGGGGTGGGCCTGAAAAATGGTGGATGAAAATTTGTAGGAAAATAACCTAAAAAAGCAGAAATAACGGAGAAAAGTTCAATATAATATGTCAATAAAACAACAGGTTCCGTGAATTCCTGACCCTACGCAACGAAGCGCATTTTTTACCGCATCTGGTCGAGACGAATCGCTTTGAAAATTACTGGCACGGCAATGTGGACTTCAAAAACGTTTTTAGAAGCCGTATCAAAGACAGATATGCTAAAGTAACAACGAAATAGGGCTTTTTACACACAAGATAAGTTTGAAAATCGCAAAATACACTTTTTAAATAAAATTAATAAATTGCCAGGTTTGAAAATAGCGTAAAACTCATAGAACTTTTAAGGAGAAGCCAAATCAACGACGAATCCTTGTGAATCATACCTAATAGGCAAAGTTACGAAACTCTGGAGCAAACCCGATCGAATCTCTAAAAAGTGAAACCAGTGGATTTGAGAGACCACAGAAATCCCGACTCGAGAAAGTCGGCTTTATTCAAGGAAGCTATCGACAAAAAAAACAGGTGAAAACGACATCACGAGAACTCTTTCCGGCCCGAAATGCAAGTGGCTAACAGTTTCCCTTCCCTCTCTCTATCGATATAAAAAAGACTAACCGGTCACTTTCCTTATCGACCCCTCTAGAAAAGCCTTGTCCGTAAGCGTGGCTATTCGAGGGGACACCCTCCATCTAGCCAGCGAAATGCACCCATTCAAATCTGGGGATGTGAAAAGCCTCAATGACCCCTCGCATCCCCGGCTCCATCGGGGTTTTTGGGTAGGATGGACTTGGATGGGAGGACAAGACGACAAGCACAAGCCTGGGAACTGTTCTTCGGATGATAAAAGCCGTGGGAAGCTGCTGCTGATGCTGGAGAGGAAGAGAAGATGGATTTTGGAAATTTTGTGCTTTGTTGAAGGAAGTCAATAAAGGTATGGAAAGAGCCTCGGCAGACGTCTAAAAAGTGCAATTTGATCTTTTCAACGTTAAGAGATACCGTGGACTGGTTATCTTAAATATACCCAGAAGATGAAACCGACCGTAAGAAATTTCAAACCAAGGTTAGAACGAGATCAGAAAGGTATATAAACGCTCGCATTATGTAGCACTCGGGAAACATTTACATAGCCCAAACGACGCGTTTATCGTACTTCAAGGCTACAAGTACTTTGTGCTACAAACAACGGCACCTTAAGTCACCTTAATTCGAAACGACACTCTATCAGCAAATCTTGCAAGTTTAGCGAACCTTCTATCCCTTGACTAAACATCAGGCCAGTCGAAGGTGCATGCATTTGACCATCGAGGCAGCCAAATCCGGATCTTTGCAACACTCGGCTTTGTTAAGGCGGAGTCCTTGGATGGTTGGCTGCTCGAGGGCAGAGCGCCGATTTTGCACCACCGCTAATTCAATTTGCCGGCAGAAAGCCTCGGTACAAAAGTGCCTGGCTCCAAATTGGGACTCTGTCCTTTAAGATTTGGTTAAAATGTTTAGCGCTAGGGGTTCCTAGCAGAGATGCTTGGGAACTACCTAGCAATAAGTGAAATTGGATTTTCGTTTTGTTAGCCCTAATTGATGGAGATATATGGAAGAGCAAGCTAGCAGAGTTTCTTGAGGAAATCAGAGTTGTATAAGAAAAGCAAAAATTATCTGAACCCCGCTTTGTCAACAAATCCGTGAAAAATCGCTCCAAACACGGTCGTGAGGATCTGACTGCCATCCACCCCCGCCAAACCATGACCAATCCCACAAAACATTTGGAATTTCGGTTTTCAGCGCTCTCCAGAGACTGCCGGATGGCAGAGTGGGTGTCGTCAATTCTATCTGGGAGCAGGATCGCGGACGCCCCAAGGAACGGCGCTCGACTTCTCACTTTTTTCTGATGGTCTTTGGATGAAGGGGAAAATGAGAAAATCGTTAAACCACGGTTTATTCGGAAATTCCCAGAGCGCCTGAAATTAATGACTACAAAATTATGGTAGGAAAATTTCCAGGCATACTGTCGAAACCGAGTTTATGCCTATTAAGAACTCCCGCTTTCTGAAACTGGCAAATATAAAAACACCTCCAAGACCTAAAAATTGGGGCGTGATAGCCTGCTAGATTTCCCTCCTCATCATCCCGCTCCTCCCGTTTTTCCCCCGTCCCTAACGAGGCTCTCATTTTTTAGGACAGGTTTCGAGGGATTGACGCGACCTCGAGTCCCTATCGAAGCTGATAGAAAGATAGAAAGATAGATAGATAGAAAGATACTAGAGCTTAGAGGCAAGTGAGACTGACACTTACTCCCTGCTTACCATAAAGATTTCCGAAAACCAAAAAAGCAAACTTGGTATCAGCGAAAAGAGGAAATATTGTGAACAAATTACAAAGGCTAGAAATCAATAACATCAAGCCTCTATGGTAAAAAATCTACGTATCAAAATCAACTTTTAAAATAATATGGAAGCGTGCTACAGTATAATCAAATTTTTGTTGAGACAAAAAAATTCCGTGGCACGGAGAAAAATGCGAAAATGACGCCATCTCAGCCGCTTACGCTTAAAGCCCAAGATCCAATCTTTAGGATCTGTCGCGATGCCGCCGCATTTTCGAAACGGCAGCAGGAACATGAAAGTGCACATGCTTGAGATCAGCTTGTCCCAAAAGCAAGGAGCGCCTGGGAAGTCATGAATTGTTGCGCCGCAAACGGCGGCGCAGCCTATGGGGATTTTTCCGGGTTTTTTCCGGTTTTTCGAAAGCTCAGTAAAGATTTTCCGGAGCGCATTGAAGGGAAATCCTTAAAACTAGGAAACTGACCCAACGAAGGCCGGAACATAGCAATAACAGGTGTTATCCAGCCAAGCAAAATTAGCGTGTATAAATTTCGGCACCCTAGCTGAAGAAGAGCTAAAAAACGCTAAAGAACCGAGGAACAATCGGAAAAATCAAGCAAGCACGCCTGCTGATGAGTGGGTTATGTGCCCTCTAACCCTAGGGCTATGAACCCCCAGAGGGCAGGTAGGTGAAGAGGGGTGAACGGTCATTCTCCCGCAAGGGCGGAGGGCAGGTTGATCTTTGACCGGTCCGTCATGAGGAACCTTGTGGAAAGAGAGAGAGAGGAGAAGGAGGGTTCCAAGAATCGGAGTTGGAGCTTTTACAGAGCTTGCAAAAACATGGAAACGACGTTCGAGAAATACGGATTCTGGCCAATTTCGCTAAATTCGAATTTGCTGAGGGCGATGACGACGAACCGTAAAACAGGACTTTCATGAAAGGGTGTCGTAAAATGGCAAAGTAGAAAGGCGATGGGTCTTATCCGTTCAGTCAAGTGTCCTTCTTTTCCTGGCTTTATCCCTTTAAAGTCGAAAATGTGATCAGTCAGTATGGAATAGCTAAAGCTAGCCAAATTCTTTGAGGAACTACGCCGTCAGGTGAACATGATAAAGAAATCCAAACCCGCCAAGTTCCTCCTCCCGGAAATATCCGCCCCAATACCAATCACTAATGGCAGGATATTGCCTTCCCCAGACGTGACCGAGAGGATAATCAATTTGCTGATAATTCCTCCATGAGGCAAGCCAGGCCGCGTTGGCATCCAATAAACGGGTTGATGACGAGAGGGCGCCCCCTCCGAGCCGCTGTTCTTCAGGAAAGCCGCAGGGATTGGGGATTTCATTGATGCAAATAATCGCATTTCAAGGTCAAAAAGTGAAGCCGGAGAGGTTGGCAAATGAGGGTGTACTCGGAAATCAGTCCGAACGACATGGTTATGGATTTTCGTGGCTATGGATTCTCATACAGGGTGTCCGAAAAAAACCCCCTCAAAATTTTGAGCCAGGAGGCTACCCACGGAGCTGAAATTTGCACAGAGGTAGCGGAGATTTAATATGGGGACCATGGCAATTTGTATCAAATATGCGTGATTGTTGCATTTAAGAGCCCGGATTTTGCATATTTTTTGCTGAATAATTCCATTTTCTTGTTGGAGCAAGGCGCGAACGATTGCTCATGCAGCGCGAAAATGATCCCAGCAGGACACCGCTTGGGTAATAGATACCTTATCTGAAACTACCGTTCAACGCCTGAACTTCGCTTAAACTTCGGCGTCCGCTTCAACCCAAGCTCAAATATAAACTTAAACACTACCTCCGATCTCGTCGAACTCTGTTTCGAGGCCAGCGCGTAGCAGGTTGCCAAATACACAATAAAACGTGATTTTAATTAATAAAACAGTTGTTTTCACACTCTTTTTACTCTTCATACGCAATCGCTCGCGCCATGCTCCAACAAGAAAATGACATTTTTCAGCAAAAAATATGCAACACAATACGGGACGCCACCAAATACGTTCAAAATTCGTGTTTTGGCGCGACGCGTAGTTGTCGAGGTCGGTAGGGGATCTGTAGGTATTGACGATTTTGCGCTCCTTTAAAGGGATGGTGACACTCAAGCAATCGATAAAAAATGACGCAAATCGATATTTCAACGACAAAATTTAAAGGTGGAATACGTGGAGTAGGCATGCTGAAAAATAGCTGATTTCCGGTAGCTCTAAGCTCTTAAACCTCAAATCCCATATAATAAAAATCGAAAAACATCACCAACCAACACCGCGCAACCCTATTTTGACACAATAAAAGCGCGCAAGGAAGGGGGGAGGGCGATGGGCCGGTGGTCAAAATAAGTAGCACCTTATAGGAGGGAAAAGCTGGGGAGGGGGAAGAGCCAGTTCCCCCCACCTAATAGGAGAGAGTCCGGCCAGTTGCGGGCTTTTCGGAGGAATGCCATTGTCAGCACCTCTAGGAAAAGCGGATAAGAGCTAGACCGGGTGGAGCCCATGTTTTCGGTTATCGGGGTGATGTCAACACGCAAACGTGGAGCTCGATAGAATAAACAGTTACCGGTTGCTGCTGACTGTAAGAATGGCAATTCCGCGTCAAGATTATCCTACACCGCAAAAA